TTTTTTTTTAAATTTTTTTTTTTTTTTTTTTTTTTTTTTTTTAGAAAGAAAGGAAGGGAGAGAGAGAGGGAGAAACATCGATCGGCTGCCTCTTGCACACCCCCTACTGGGGACCGAGCCCACAACCTGGGCATGTGCCCTGACCAGGAATCGAACTGACAGCATTTCGGTGCACAGGTCATGCCAACCAACTGAGCCACACCAGCCAGGGCTGTCCTTATTTTTATTGCAGTGATTAATTCAACTTGCTATGTGAAATCCTCCAGACCTTTGGTCTAGACGTGCACTGTCCAGTGTGGTAGCCATTAGCTACTTGTCGCTATGTGCATTGCCGAGTGCTCCTGTGCTGGACGGTGCAGACACAGCATGTCCATCANGTCCAGTGTGGTAGCCATTAGCTACTTGTCGCTATGTGCATTGCCGAGTGCTCCTGTGCTGGACGGTGCAGACACAGCATGTCCTGAAGAGTTGTGTGGGACAGAGCTAGTCTAGCTCATCTGCTGTCCGATGACTGAGTGGTGGAAACCTCCACTTGTTCACGGTCACTGCCGTTCAGAAGTAAGCCGTCTGCCACTGCCTCGTGAGCTATAACCTTGGGCGCCAACCTCTCCAGGCTATGCTTTTCCCATCTGTGAAATGAGATTTGAACTAGACAGACTAGAGGTTGTAGATATCAAAGTAGAAATTCAGCATCAGATGCCAGAGTTGCCATTTTTTCCCAGATTTGTACCTCCAGGATGGTCTTTACCTGTGACATTAGCTCCATGGGGACAAATGTGAAACACATTGTTAGAAAACAACATTAATTTTAATTAATTGAATTGTTATGCCTGTTTTATCGTGAAGGAAAACATAGAATATTGGCATAAATAGAATTTATCAGTCATATTTTGAATTTCAGGCATATTGAATCATACCAATAAGCTGATACAACAAAGAGACATCTGGGCATTTGAACAAGCAGATATATAGAGTTAAGAATGGAAATGAAGCCCAGCCAGTGTGGCTCAGTTGGTTGAGCAACATCCCATGCATGCACCACGAGGTCATCTCTTCGATTCCCAGTCAGGACGTACGCCTGGGTTGTGGGCTCCCAAGTTTTTTAACACCATCCACATGCACCCGACTTACAGAATAAAACAAAATGCCTCGCCTAATACGAGAAGTATTACTCAGTCAATTAGTATATGATAATGGTAGAAAAATTTAAGCCCTTTGGTGATTTTTAAGGTTTTCTTTTAAATTAAAAGATCCAGAAATGTACATAAGATGAACATTGCACTGCATCTCTCCCCCCCTCCACACACACACACATCTCAGCATGGGCCACACCTTGCATTTCTGAGGCTGACTCAGCAGCCTGGTTTCTGCAGATTTCATCATCTGCCTTGGGGAAGGGGACAAAGCCAGTCGAAGGAGCTCGGGCTTGGCTTGCCACATGGTTCCCTTGCCCAGGCCTGTTCCTTTGTGTGGTGTAACAGTGGCAAGTAAGAGGGTGGAGATCGGTGAACTTCCTTTTATCCCCAAGGACTGGATTTTGAGTTAATTGGTGGTTGATGCGGATCGTTGCAGCAAGAGCTAGTGCCCGATAATCTCCGCCATGTGGATTGTCATGTGGCTGATATTCAGTGAATCCTCGATGTCAGGAAGATCCAAGAGAGGCAGCGCCATCCAGAAGGGAGATGGAAACGACTCCAGGACTTTTTATAGTTTAGATTGTGGGTGCCACTTTTTCTCTTACCTCAGCCAGCTTTAGTTTTATAGGTGCCTTGTTTTGGAGGCACTTAGAGGATTGAATGTTGCATATTGTCTCTTCAAAACCAAAATTGGCTGTGGGTTCCAAAGAATAAGTCTAGGTAGAACCTGCCCTGAGCTTTGAGATTTGTGACTTCCATGTCTGTCATTTGCATTTCTACAGGGACAAACCCACAGGGGTGTGTACTGGGGTTTGCATGTGGGTGTCCCCATGTAGGGCCTTGACTTGCCAGCGCGAGCGGAGAAAGCGTGGTCATAGTCTCTCGTGTCATTAATATCACTGGACTCCTTTTTCTGAGGGAGTCAGGCTTCAGGTTACACCTGCCAGCCCACGGTGAGACACCAGGGGGAACCTCCCAAGATGAGGAAGAACGTGTGTTTGCTTGGCTTGAAAAACCTCAAGGACTGAGTTACACCAGCACAGAGGGTGTTGAGTGGCAGGTAAAGTGCTCCCTGAATCTCGTGTCCTGATTGCGTCACCTGCCTGCATTCCGCTCTAGGGAAGGACATTCCTGGACAGGCGTCTCTGGTGTTCGACGTTGCGCTGTTGGACCTTCACAACCCCAAGGATGGCATTGCCATTGAGAACAAGGTAGTGCCTGAAAACTGCGAGCGCCGGAGTCAGAGCGGGGACTTTCTCCGATACCATTACAACGGCACGCTTCTGGACGGCACCTTCTTTGACTCCAGGTGAGGCCCAGGATCTGGACACCCTGTCAGTGCTCACGCATATGTTCAGTTCCCGTACAGGCTGCTATTTGCTGGTGCTGAATTCCTTCAGAGGCCATTAGAACTGTCTCCCTGGGGCCTGTGGGACAGGAATCTGCCGGCAAACAGGAGAGGCTCCTCCTAGGCACCCCCCGTCCCCCTCTACTGTGCTCAGCTATCCAAGTATAAACTCAGCTGTGGGGTCCAAGATGGGAAGTGGCCAGAAGGGAGGTGCAGGGGGTAGGCTGGGAAGAGAACAGACTTAGTGGCAGGACACCTGGTGGACTAGCTGTGTGACTTGGGACAGCATTTGACCTCCCTAAGCTTCATATTTTTTACTTGTTATTAGCATGTTTCTCAAGGAGATGGTTAAAGAGATAAGGGAGGTGAAAGCCCTTTCCAACTTTCAAAGGCTTTTTTTACTGCAGGGGACTGGTTGGAAGCGTTCAGCTTCCTTCCTGCTGTTGCAGAGGCTAATCACGGAGCCTCTGTTGTTCAAAGTTGTGTTTTGTGTACAAGGCTCAGCTGCAGGCGTGCAGATGGCCAGGGCATGCCTGGCGTGTGGTGTGTCTTGCTCCTTCAGGTGGCACGTGCTGTTTGGAAACCACTCCTGCAGAGCAAACAGTCGACAGCAATCTACCTGTCCCTCCGAGGCAGTAGACTTTGAGTTTATTTAGCCATCCAGGAACATTACCGAATTGTTGTAGGGTATCATTTTATTTGAATAATTCATTTTTCCTGCCCCTTGCTTTTTGTCACCTTGGGACTTTTCCATAGCAATACGTAGAGAGAAGTCATTTATTTTTATATGTGTCTAGTATTTCATTGGGTGGACATACCATATTTATTTAACTGTTCCCCTACTGATGAACGTTTCAGTTGTTTTCATTCTCTATCACCAAAAAACCTTCCAGTGTGTGTGTAATTATTACTTGTCACATATGAGCTTGGTTCTGTCCTTTATTCCTGGGAATTATATTTCAGTTGAAGGACCATTTTTCTTGTGGATACCAGGTTTCCTTCCATATTAATAGAACCACAGTTTTCTTAGGTTTCAAACAGATTTGCATTTTAGTTCATCGGGATCTAGCCTATCCTAACCACTAAATGATATTCCATTGTATAGATTTGTCTTAATTTGTCTACTCAATCCCTAATGTTTTATGCCTTTGGACATTTTAGGTGGGGCCCAGGAATTATTTGCAGCTGAATCTTAAAGTAGATGATAAATTATTTCCTTGGGATAAGTTTCTAGAAGAATCTCTGGATCTCAGGTTATGTGTATTTTTACAGCTTTTGGTATGCGCTGCCAAGCTGTCCTCGGGGAAGGTTTCCATCGCTGGCTGGGAGTGCCCATTCCCTCAAACTTGGTAACACTGGTGTCATTCTAAACTAATCTTTGCCAATTTGTAGAAGAAAAATGGACCCTTTTAATTTTAATCTGAATTTCTATGATTGTATTGCTACTGAGGTCGAAGCTCTTTTATGTGTTTATTGACTATTTGCGTATCTTCTTTTGTGATTTACCTGTTTATTTCCTTTTTTTTAAAATCCGCACCCGAGGATATTTTTTCCATTGCTTTTCAGAGAGAGTGGAAGGGGGAGAGAGAGAGGGAGAGAAAGAGACATCAATGTGAGAGAGACACATCGATTGGTTGCCTCCCACTCGAGCCCCAACCAGGGCTGGGGATCCAGCCTGCAACTGAGGTAGGTGCCCTTGGTCGGAATCGAACCCGGCACCCTTCAGTCCACGGGCCGCCGCTCTAACTACTAAGCCAAACTGGCCAGGACTTTATCTGTTTCTTTCTTTTCCCTGGTTTTATATTGAGGGTATTGGTATTTGTCTTCTCCTTATGGATTTGAAGACTGTGTACATTAAAGATATTAACCCTTTTATGGTTGTATATTGTTGAAAACATATTTTCTGTTTATTTTCATTTTATTTTTGGTTATTGTGATTTTTTGACCTATTTAAATGTAAAGTTTTTTTTTTTGTTAAATATGTTCCACTTCTCCTTTATGGCTTCCTTTGTTCTGATATAAATTCTTACATATTCTGTCTTCGGCGACTTGCTAGAAAGTCTGTCTCCTCCTTTAGAGTATATAAATATTTGCCTGCATTTTCCTCATGCCCTTTTAATGGTTTTGTTTTTTTATCCTGTAAAATATTCTTTATTAGAATTTTTATTTTATGAAGGATTATGCTCTCATCGTATAAGTGAAACAATGCAAAGATACATAATGAAACGTAATGATTTCCCACCGACCCCTTCTGTTCTCACTGCCCAGGGTAAATATTAATAACTTCCACAGCCTCTCTCCATGCTTATGAGTGCATTCGTGCGTAAATCTTCAGTCCATCTGGAATCTGTTGTGGTATGCAGTGTGACAGTAAGGATCTAACTAGCTTTTTCCAGATGGTCAGCTCATGTTTCCAAAACCCTTTATTGAAAAACTCTGTTTTTTTCCTCAGTCATCAAAAATCTGACTTTTATTATGTACCAAATTCTTAAAATATACTTTTGGGTCTTTGTCTAGAATTTTTACCCCTTTCCATGGGTCTAACTCTTCCTGGGCCTGTGTCATAGCTTAGACCATTGTAGCCTTTTGATCTCTGTGATAGATAGTATTNTCCTGGGCCTGTGTCATAGCTTAGACCATTGTAGCCTTTTGATCTCTGTGGTAGAGAGTATTCTTTTANTTGATCTCTGTGATAGATAGTATTCTTTTAAAAACATTATTTTTACTAAGTGATACATTGCCATGGTTCAGAATCCTCAAAGTATAAAAGGGTATACAATGACAAATTTCCCTCCTATGCTTGTCCCTTAATACCCAGTTCCCCTCTTCTCAGGGAAGCAGTATTATGAATTTCTTAGGTCTCCCATTCCTATGCAATGAAATATGTATTCCCCCATTTAAATTTTTTACAAGGATGAGCTTGCTATACCCTGCACCTTCAAAACAGTATTCCTTTTTTTAAATTTATTTATTTTGTCTTCACCCGAGGATATTTTTTTCTTGATTTTTAGAGAGA